TGGGAGGAGCAAGGATTAGAAAAGGGCAAGGGAAAGAGCCTAGTGGATGAGGAGGGCTGGGGAGGGGGCTTTGTAGTGAGCTTGGTGGGACTAGCAGGACAGAAATTGGAAGAAAGAGGTCTGGGGTTGAGAATTCTAGAGGCCAGTGGAGGCGGCTTCTTGACAGTTCCCCATTGAAAGGGCCACCTGATATCTCCTGACCAAACCCAGTACACCACCAGGCAGAATCTACAATTCAGGACAGGCTGGAGGAGAATCCAGGAAAAAGACTGCTGATTTCCTAAAGCTGGATCTTTGTATGGATCCCTGCAGAACTATAGAGGAAAAGATTGGGATGCCCCCCCAAAAAAACCTGGGCCACCTAGACAGCAGAAAGGAGTGGATTTCCCTGATGTCCAAAAGAAGGAAGAGGGTAGGGCTGGAGGAGGGCAAGTTTGGCTTTGGGAAATGGAAAACTCAAACAAAATGATGCTTCATTCACCTTGGGTCCTATCCCCTCAAGCTGGGGGCCTAGCGAAGGAGATGCCAGGATGGCAGTGCTGTCCGGGAGGTGAGTTCCCAGGTCGGGAAGAGAGGCCTAATGACCCTTCTCTGAATCCAGGCTGTGGGGACTGAGAGATCAAAGACTGAGCAGGTTCTAGAGAGATCCAGGAATCTGCACTTGCCCCAACATTCTAGAAAGAGGAGGGGAAGGGGATAGACACTGCCCAAGAACACCAAGCCACTTTTCCTTCCATCCTCACCAACAGGAATTTTTTCAGACTGTGTGGGAGGGTTCCCCACTCAGAAACACTGATGGATGCTCCCTCATAGGCCTTTTATGAACCCCTAAGACCTTTCCTATAATTTCAAAATCCCTTTCTTGCCTGGACAGCTATGTCCTCTCCCCTCTACTAATCTCTTCCATCCTGCAGCCAGGACTCTGGACAGGAAAGGGCCCCCCAAACTCTGTCAGTCCTACAAGGCCCCAACTCTAGGCCTGAGTCCAGACCCCATGGTGGTGAAGCTCTTTGTTCTCCTACAGCTTCAACCCACCCCCTCCTTTTTTTAAACTGGAATTTCTCCCATAAAAGTGGGGGCAGAAGCTTCAGAACTTCAAGTGTTCCCCGCACCTTGGGAAATATGGTAGCAACAGAAAAGGAAGGCAGGGAGGGAAATCAATTGATGCCGAATTTCCAGAGGAGGAAGTTGGGCATCAAATAAGGCACACACACACCAATCTCATTTCTTTCATCCTTCTCCCTAGCCTAGAATTCAAACTACACCCAGCCCTCAAGTGTGTGCATCAGTCTTGACCTTTCCTGCTGAAATTGCTGCCAAGTTTCATCTCTGACTTTGCATTTGTCGCAGTGGGCCAGGAATTCAATCCTCCAACTTCAGAAAGACACAGATAGCTGCCTCTTCATTTTTCTAGTATTTTTCTGAGACATGTCTTCATAAGTAGAGGGTAGGATCAGCATGTAAATCAAGTATGCATACAGACAGATAAGCAGGCAAACAGAAACCTTTATTTATAAAGAGAATTTAGGTAGATAGCTGGGTATCTCCATGAGCACATGTGAACTGTGTCCATAAGGGCATGTGCTGAAATAGCTCCCGTATATATCCCCAAATTCACAGACACTGAGTGCCTGTGTACACGAGCAAGGAGCAAGCCCTGGAGCCTGAGTATGAGGAGTGTGTGTCACATGCACGCGCGTGTGCACACACACACAGAGTGCACACACAAAAAAAATCAGTGAAAAAGCACATTGAACATATCCATTATATAATGGGTTAGCTGTACCTAGCTGAGAACTTGTTCACCAGAGAAAGCTGAGGGCTGAGTGGCTACTGCTGATACCCCTTTGAAAAGGCAGCCCAAAGCAGAGCCAGGACTTCCTGATGAGACTGAGGGGCCATTTTCCATTAGTATATTTAACGGCTCGATCTTTCCCCCAATACCAGTGGCTCAGCTAGAGACCAGGAAGCCACATTCCTTCTCATTTCTCTTGGTTTTTCTCTAAACCTCATCCATAGTTAAGCCCTACCTCCCCATCCACGAAGACGGCGGGTCGAGGTGAAGGGTGAGCATTGTAGCCGAAGGTTTCAGCGCCCGCCTTTGTAGGGCGGCATAGCTTCTGAGATGTAATTACTACGTTTCCAGTGGTGCATATTCTCCTGGAGTGTTTAATTTGATTTTATTTGTGTCTCAGCGAGATCCACATTTGGCGGGGAGGGGAAAGAAGCGACCCCAGGCTTAAAGTTAATTAACCAGCAACGTTTTACTTTACACCGCCCGCCGTCAGGCTCTGCATCCGACTCTCCCTCCCGGGTCTGGCGCGTCCTAGTCGTGGTGCCTGCGTTGGCAGGCGCGGAAACTCTTGGGGAACCAAATGAAAGGGGTTGGGGGTGTCGGTCAGAGCATGCCTGTCAGACGTCCCCAGCAGCTTTTGGTGCCCTTAGCCGCGAACTTTCCACTCCAGCCCTCTCCCGCGCCCGCCCCCATGTTGAAGAGTGGGGGTGGGAGTACATATGCATCTGGTCTTCTTGAGAAAGGCTTCTTGGGTTCCCTTGCTTTCTTCTTGCCGCTAAATTTTGGCCGCACAATGCCCCTAATAAATGAAACTGTAAAATTCCCGGGTTAATTAAACCTATATCTCATTGCAATAGGAATAGTTAATGCCCTTATATAAACCTGGAAAAGAACATACTATTAATTTTATTTATTGCTGGGCCGCCCTGTACTCAGACCTTTCCCGCCGTTCTGGCCCTTACTCCTTTGGGTCCTTCTGGCATCAGACTGGACCAGAGAGAGTCCAAGGAAAGGGGCCGAAGCTCCAGGTCCTTTGTTTCTCCTGGCAGCCCTACAGAACCAGTCCACTCTTCCTGGATTCTCCAAGTGGATTCGGCACTTCACACTGTAGCTAGGGCCTCTGCACCTCCTCTACCACCCACAGACTGAAAAACAGCGGATCTCACTATTCTCCCACCTCCCACTAACCAGGTCTTAGGTAAGGGGCCCAAGGTCTCAGGACCCAGTCTAGACTTGGCCAACCTGAGTTTGCTTTCCTTGTTTTTACCTTGACCTTGGACTCCAGCGGGAGAGTAGCTAGTTTCTCAGCTAAACACCTTTCCGGCAAGATCCCATCTTCCCCTTGCTTATTTTCCTCCCACCATCATTGCCCTCAACACATACCCAAGCAGGCCTACTTGTATTTCCAACCTCTTTCTATTGTACTTTTCCACCTACTGCCCCAACCCAGCCTGCTTTCTGAATTCTCAGATGACCCTTCTGATTGAAGACTATGCTGATAAGAATTAACTCACCAACGCATGGGCAGCTCTCAACCATCAAATACCACCTTCCCCTCAAGGGAAGAGGGAGGCAACTGTGGGGGTCGCAGTGTAAATCCGCAGACCTGGCTATTTACTGTCTAACTTGAGAGTTTGAGGGGTCCAGTAGGTTCGGTTTGGCAAGGATCTGATGCTTGGCCACTGCTTATGCAAACAAGAGCACCCAGCATTTAAAGTCTGTGGCAGAGGCAAGAAAGAGGGAGACATGGAGACATTTCAGCCCCTCTCCCCCATTCCCCCCCCCTCTTTTTATTACCTCTTCTCCTCAGGGAGGCCCTGTGCTGAAAAAGAACTTGGCTCAATTCCGCGCAGCGATGCCCCCCGCAAAGGGGTGACTCTATTGAGGCTCCAGACAAGTCAGAGGGCTATGAAGAAAGAAGGGGGGCTTTTGAGAAATCAGTAAGTTGGGTTAGTTTTTCTTTGAAATAGGAGACAGTTTTAGGACATAAAAATACTTCACACTACAGGAGTGACCCCAAGAAAACTGTGGCAGCTACAGCGAGGTGTTCAACTGGGGACTGCGTGGAACTGGGCTCTGTCTGGCCTCCACCTTCCAGGATCAGCCCAGGCAGCTAAGGATGCCTGGGTACTATAGGACTGAGGTCGGACCTCCAGTGTCCCCCCAGAGTTGTACCTGGGAGTGGTCTCTTCAAGGGGCAGCGCCAATTTTTCCCCATTTTGCACACTTCCTTTAGTACATTTACAAAGGCAGGAGCGCTCTCATAGCATCCAATACTTTTTGCCTTCATAGACCGAATTCCGCCTCCCTAATTCTTTTTTTTTTTTAATCTCATTCAGAGGCTTTTATTTCTATTGCATGTTGAAGTATCAGTCTATTCTCTGTCCCATTTCCCTCCTTTTATTCTTTCTCTATTTCTCGCTGAGAGTATTCCATCTCTGCACGCTTGTCCAACCCCTATGATGAAGTCTGTGTTTGGGGGCTACCACATTTCCCAAACCCTCTCCACTACCAGCAAAGAGAAAAAAGGGTCCTTCCCTGACTGGCGCTTTGGAGTAAGAGACTGAAGGTCCGAAATAGAAACACAATCAGCATCAAAGGCTTGCTGCCCGGCGTCTTCGGTTCTTTCCAGCCGCGAGCTGGAGCGAAGCCTGCCACAGCCGAGCACTCCATCCTGTTTTCTAGTTTCTTCATTTATTATTATTTTTAAAAATCCATTTTCGCCCCACTCTTAGCTCCAAGCCTTAATCTAAGGACTTGGCAGTCAAAGCGACTGGCTTGGAGATAGGGGTCTGTCTAGCTGGTGCACATCCAGAGCCTCGGGGGAGGTGCCCAGAGACAGCGCTTTCCTCCCCTGGCCCCTTTGCGTCGGCCAAATTCAGCCACCCCCTCCTCCCTCTCCCGTTCAGGGCCTGCCAGGGGGGCGTCACCCTGTCCCTTTAAATCTCTCAACTCCCTCCTCCTTTTCCCCTCCTGAGAACCAATCAGCAAAAACCTCATTTCTTCTCGCCCCGCCCCACTTCGAGGGGAGGGAACCCCTGGAGACTCAGCCAGAGCGTCACGTGCGCCGACCGCCGTCACGTGGGAGCGGAAGGAGTGCTGAGGGGAGGTGGGAGGGAAGCCGGTGGATTTCTTAATGAAGTGTTTCCCGCATGCGTAGAGGGATTGTGTGGAGGGAGGTGGAAGCACCAGGAGGAGGAGGGGTGGGGTGGAGAGGGAAGGGAGGAGGGATGGGGGAGGGAAATAGGGAGCGAGGTGTCTCCCTAGCTCGCTGCCTCTGGCAAGTGGAGTTTTTAAAAAGCTCGAGCAGATCATGTCATGACGACTTCGCTGCTCCTGCATCCACGCTGGCCGGAGAGCCTTATGTACGTCTATGAGGACAGCGCGGCGGAGAGCGGCAGCGGCGGCGGGGGAGGAGGTGGTGCGGGAGGAACGGGGGCCGGCTGCAGCGGAGCCAGCCCCGGCAAAGCCCCAAGCATGGACGGTCTGGGCAGCAGCTGCCCGGCCAGCCACTGCCGCGACCTGCTTCCGCACCCGGTGTTGGGCCGCCCGCCTGCTCCTCTGGGAGCCCCTCAGAGCGCCGTCTACACGGACATCCCGGCCCCGGAGGCGGCGCGCCAGTGCGCCCCGCCGCCGGCGCCCCCCACTTCGTCCAGCGCCACCTTGGGCTATGGTTACCCATTCGGGGGCAGCTATTACGGTTGCCGCCTGTCGCACAACGTGAACCTGCAGCAGAAGCCTTGCGCCTACCACCCGGGCGATAAGTACCCGGAGCCGTCGGGCTCCCTGCCCGGAGACGACCTGTCCTCCAGGGCCAAGGAGTTCGCCTTCTACCCCAGTTTCGCCAGCTCCTACCAGGCGATGCCCGGCTACCTGGACGTGTCGGTGGTGCCTGGGATCAGCGGGCACCCGGAGCCGCGTCACGACGCGCTCATCCCGGTCGAAGGCTACCAGCACTGGGCTCTCTCCAATGGCTGGGACAGTCAGGTGTACTGCTCCAAGGAGCAGTCGCAGTCCGCCCACCTCTGGAAGTCTCCCTTCCCAGGTAAGGAAGGGGCCCGAGAGCCGCCGCCGCCGCCGCCGGGGACCCCTCCCGCCCTGCCTGCCCCGGGGCTCCGCGCCCCAGCCACCCCCGCCGTCTGGCCCCGGCGCGCCGGCTCGGCTGGGCTGTCGATGGAGCCGGCCGGGCGAGCTGAGCTGAGGAATGCGCTGGGGAGAAATCTGCTCCGACACGTTCCCCGGAGCTGCCGGGTCGAGAGTGAAGCAATCACAGGCGCCGAGCGCCCGGCCACGGGCTCGGGCTCGGGTCAGGAGCTCACCTCTTCCTCCCCCTTCCTGCTCCAGCCTCACGCAGAGCTACTGTACCTTAAACCCGCTGGCTGGTCAGAATGGGGGTGGAATGGGCCTCCATTGCCTTGAAATCTAGGACAAAACTCTCAACCCGCTGAATAATTGCAGGAGGGGATAAGAGCCCTCTCTTTGCCTGGATTTTCAGAATCATTCAGGCAGTAGTGCTTTTTAAAAAATAGCAATCTAATTTGCCAGATACTGTAGAACTGTAAGTTTTTTTCTTGATTTATTTAAAAAATTCATCCATAGATACTCAGATTGTTAAGGGTCTCGAAGAGCTAAAATCTCGAGAGGAACAAGAGAGGAGAGGGATGCAAGCCCTATTAAATTTTCTTTGGCACTCTGGTATGCTGAGCTCAAATCCCATGAATGTCTCCACTTCCACATCTCCCAAATGTGGTCAAAAAAGAGTTAGTTGTTGGTGCCCCAGACAGAGGAAGAGGGGCTGTGGATGCAGGGTGGAGTAAGAAGACCTGTGAGGATCTGGGGTCCAGGCCATTGCCTGGGGACCCCTGAATCTTGCATAGCTGTGTATGTGAGAGGACAATATACTAATGACCTATTCTTTTTTCAACGGATACTATCTCTGAATAGGAAAGGTTTCTATAACTCCCACCCTTCCCCAGAGGAGAAAGACCAATCCCAGATTTCCCAAAACCACATCAGTAGTTTTGGATTCCATTTCCTTGAGAAATAAGGATTCTCTGGGGTCTAGAGAAGCCAGCATTTGAGTCTGCTGTCCCTGTAAGCAGAGCTCAGTGAGAGAAGGTCCTTCCTTCTGATGTGATGCATTCAAAGGTCTTTGGGGGACCAGAGCAGCCCCAGATATCTCCCTATAATGCCTAAAAGGCCCCCTTAGCTACACGTGCTGGGGCCAGGGATATTTTCATTGGAAAGCATAGACCTGAAGACCTCCTAAGGGTGGGCCTAAAATTCCTCTGTATCCGGGTTGGGATTGGGAAGAGAGGTAGATGGTGAAGAATCACTGAATGATGTTAGAGAGTAGCAGACAATGTTCTGTAACCATTATGAAATTTACTAACACACCTTATACCAGGGTGGGACCAACACAAGTCACCCCATTTCTGACTATCAGAATTAAGTATGATATAATTTTAGTACATGGTATCATGTATCACCTACTCTTTATTGGTTGTAAGAACTAAATGTTACATGATTTTTTATTAACTGCCTAATGTGAAATATTTCTAGAAGATAGGCAGTTTACATGTAGGTATACTATAATGTATTATAGAGAGGTTGCCCTTTAATTCTCTATTTGACCAAAACAGAAAGTTCCTTAGAAAATGAGGGTCCAGTATGAATTTCTGGAGCAGTGGACCCCATGGACCATGCAATGGGACCAATAGGCAGGAGAGCAGGTGCCCAGCAGGCCCACTGTGGGTGGGAGCACCCAGGCCTACAGCAATGGACAATGTGTTTAGAGTCTTGAGGTAGAAGAGAAAGAGCTACTCTAATATCCATGATTTGCATGTGAATCCTGGTGGGGATAAAGGATTGGAGTGAAGCTCAGGAATATCTTTGATCAAAATAAACATCTCAAAGGCTCTCAGGGGGGAAAAATCTGCTAAAAATAAACAGTTTTCTATCACAGCCTCCTAGAGAAAAATATCTTTGAAATAAAAAAAAAAATACAGCCCAATTGAGGTTTAATACATTCGAAAATTATAGCATGGAATGGATATAAAACCCAGCGTGCCTCTGCAACTCCGTAGAAATAGGATTGGGATGGTGTAGCTCAGTGAATGCAGAGGTCTGGGCGAGAGTCAGATGAAAAAGAAATTATCTTCAGACACCCTCCATCTTTCTACCCACACAGATCTTTTAGAAGTAGTGAGATTTCTAGATAACTCTGTCTATGCAATTGTGGTTTGTTCGGCAACATCTAGGCATAAACACCACTGTCTCTCTTCAGTGCCTCTGGCTCTGAGAAACCTCATCTATGGCAGTCTGGGCTGGTGTGGGAGATGGAGGCAATTGTTCAGAAAGATCCAGATAATTAGGGAGATGTGTTGTGGCTTCTTCCTTCTTCCAATTATACAGACCCTTGCTTCATTGCTCTTTTTTTTTTTTTTTTTTTTTTTTTTTGGTCTTATGATGAGTGTAGACACCGTTTCCTTTTTCTTTTCTTTCTTTCTTTCTTTTTTTTTTAACTGAGAGAGACAAAATCCAGGATAGAATTCAAGAGGGAGGGAGAGAGAGAAAAAGAAAGAGAGATGGGGTTAAGGGGGAGAGAAAGAAACATTGATGACTTGGACCATATTAGAAATCCCTGCTGACAAGCCTTTGGATTTGGGTTGAGAAGAGCAGCTAGCTGGATTTCTAGTTGGACAACATGGTCTTCAGAGCCCAGAGCCTGCTTTTGGGAGTGAGTAATAAAGGGTGGGTTGGCTGTGAGAACCTGTACATGGAAGCCCCTTGGGCTCCAAGAAAAAGCTAAGGCTAAGCAATGATCTAATTTTCATTCACTCCTCAAAGGTGTTGACTAGGTTGAGAGGTATGAAGTGATTTGTGTATGAGATCTAGAGGGAGTCTAGGGAGGGAGTAGTTGTGAAATTAATAGCCAAGTCCCCACTTATTTTAGCCAGTGTAAACACAGCTCAAGGTCTCATCTACCAGGTGTTTCCACATCTGTAGATCCTACTTCCTTTCCAAAAGGCCACAGACAATGAAAGGGGGGCTTCTTTGAAAAGTCAAGACTGGAGGGATTTCCTAAAGAAGCCAGACAGCCTGCACTCTGGCTGAAATTGAAAAATGAAAATCTTGGTCAAATCAATTAGTGTCATCCTATAGAGAAAATAACCAGTTTAGACTAGTTGTTTGCTTTTTAAACAGATTTTTTTTAAGGGTTTTGTGGATTAAACCTCACTAGAAATTTAGAGTTGGAGTTTAGATAGTCAAAATTAGGTAAGTAATTGTAAGAGTTCACAGAAAGTGAAGCAAAAAAATCAGGGACAATTATTTGGTTAATTCAGGAAGTAAAATCTATCTTTGCTCTCTAGGAAAAATTTTTAAAAAGGGGTGTTTTAAAGCTGAGTTATACTACATGGCCTATTTTCATTTTAAAACATATGATGTTATTATATTAAGAGTTCAAAGAATCTGAATTTAAAAATTTGATTCTGACGTTTAAATTATTTTATCCTCTCTGAGTCTCAGGTTCCTGATCTGGTTAAATGGGTTTAACAAAATAAACCTGAGGAAATGTTCTGAGGATTTAAAAACAAAAGCAAAAACAGAAAACTCATTGTATCACTACTTACCCTGTTCATTTTTTTTTTCTTGTCCCTGAATCATCAATTTCTCAACTCATGGTCATATCTAAAAACAAACTGAGAACTAAGAATTTTTAAAAATTATCTTGTACCTAAAACTCATTTTTTAACTTAAAGGATCTTATCTGTTAAAATGAAGTTATTTTGTTTTTCAGATTTAAAAAATGGCTTTATTTGTACAGAGACAGAGAAAAATGAAAAGCTGCACAGTTTTCCTGAGAAATTGTCACCATGAAGACAGCCAAAGCAGGCTATTGGAACTCCCTCACCCCTGTTTTCTTACTGGGCATTTTATTTTTCCCTACATTTGATTGTGAACTCTTCTTTCCCCAGCATGTATAGATAAGCATCCCTGGGAGAGTGCAGACCCAATGGGAGTAGGTGCAGGGAAGGTGTTTTGTGTGGGTGGGGTATGAAGAAGCATTTCAGGAGGAATTTTGTATCTTCACTCTGAACTCCAAAGGATAGTGTGAATGAAGAGGAAACTTCACATATTTCAGTCTCCCTCATTGGCTTCTACCTAATGAAGTATAATACTTATGTGGAAAAAATTGAGAGTTGAGTTATTCAGTTAATCTTCCTCATTCCCCACTTCCCTGTGAAAGTGTTTCTGTGACCTTTACTGCCAGGGGTGAGGGTAGAGTAGAAGACAGGGATATAAGTCACATATTGTTTTCAGTTCCTGTGAAATTCTCAGAGCCCAAAGAAACTGAACTGGTTGTGATGGGAATGACAAGGTTAGGATTAGAATTAGGACTCTCATGGAATGTAGTTAGTTTGTTTTAGCCTTAAAAGAATGGAACAGTGAAGAGTTTGGGACCAAATTTGCTCTGTTTGGGTGGGACCTGAGTGTGGACCCCCACTACCTGATTTCCAATGCCTTGAGACAGGACTTCTCACCTTGGTTGCTGTTAGGTGGCTTACAACATTGAGCCCCAATTTTAGAGTGATTGGTCCCCAAATAGGCTGGCTTCCCCTGGACACCCTTCCTCTCCTGACATTTTATGTTGGTACCTCAGATTTCTATTGCAAGGCCAGTGCCCAAAGGCGTAAGAACCCATTTGGTTGTCTGTGCTCACTGAAGCCGAGAACACGCATACAACAGAACTCCTTCCTCTGATGATGGGGCAGAGTATAGACTGATAGGCACCCAATGAGCCAACTGTAGGAAGGTATTTTTTTAAATACCCGGGATCCTATAGGCATGGCAGGTCCTTAGAGGTTCCCCTCTGAAGGCTCAAGGTTCCTAATAAGGAGAGCTATGCAGAGCCATTTTGGAGCGCGAGGCAAAATGAAAAATCAGTAATACTGATCCTGTATTTATTTTTTAAATTGATATTCTGCTTATTGTGGGGTTTTTTTGCATTCATTTTGATTATTTTAAACATTGCATTAAAATATTATGTTAATCACTGACTTTTTGGCGCCTCTTCCCCTGAAATTTGTACCAGAGGCCAGAATGGTCTCACCCTATTCCTGTCTTTGTTAATAGCAAAGGTGCAAAGGATTGCTTAGGCAGAGCAATCCTCGGGCCCTCTTTGAGTCCCTGCCCAAACCCTGTGCTTCAGCAGTGTCATAGCCTTGCTTGCGGCCTCTAGCCAGATCCAGCCGCTTGCCTCACTTCCTCCCGCCCGCCTTCTCTTTCCCCTCAGATGTGGTTCCCCTACAGCCTGAAGTGAGCAGCTACCGGCGCGGGCGCAAGAAACGTGTGCCCTACACTAAGGTGCAGCTGAAGGAGCTAGAGAAGGAGTATGCGGCTAGCAAGTTCATCACCAAAGAGAAGCGCCGGCGCATCTCTGCTACCACGAACCTCTCGGAGCGCCAGGTCACCATCTGGTTCCAGAACCGCCGGGTGAAAGAGAAGAAGGTGGTCAGCAAATCGAAAGCGCCTCATCTCCACTCCACCTGACCGCCCACCCCGCAGCCCGCCCCGTCTATTTATGTCGCCGCTTTGTACCATAATCGAACCCACGAAGGACGCTGCGCCCATGCAGTATTTAATGTTAACAAGAAAGAGGACCCCGCGCCAGGAGGCCCAGAGTCTCCGAGGTTGCGCTCTGCCTTGCCCTAAATCCCCATTCCATCCCCGCCCCCTCTCCCATCCAGGGGGTACTCACCGAGCTTCAGCTGTTTTGGAGCTGGCGAGGAAGGACGTGGGCCTCTACTTCTCTGGCTGTCTCCCTTTGCCTCACCAGAAATAGAGGAATGGCAGCGGAGAGCCCAATCATTCCAACCAAAGTAGGGTTGGTGGGGGGTGTCCCAAATGACCCTATCCTTGCCTCATCCTATGCCCAAGATGGTAGAAGACCCTTCTTAGGGGTGTGGCTTGGGCACAGGATCTGGTGAGTTTGTACTTCCCTTCCAGTTTCTCCTTTTCCCTCTCCCTCTTGCATTCCATAGGCAAGATTTTCCAGTTACGATTTTTGTGCATATTTTTAAAGTCGTGTTAATAATATTGATGATAATTATTGGGGACCTGGCAGCTTGATTGGAGTACAGATCTTGCTTAGAACTTTTAGGTTTTCTTTCCTATTTCAACAAAACCTGGAGTTGGTGCAACCCTTAACCCCATCCCAACCTGAACACAATTTCTCTCTGAAGCTGCCTTTGTCCCCACCACCTCCCTTCTATGCTCTCTCTCTCACTCATGTGGAAATTCAAGGAAGACAAAACTCCAACCCCAGTGCTAAACGTGGCTTATCTTTCCTCTTTATCTCTCTTGGTGAGGTTGGGAATTAGGCCAGGCTCAGAAACAGAACATTAAAAAAAAAAAAAAAAGAATAAACTTCTCTTTGAAGGGGATGGAGAGTGGGTGCCTCAGTAGAATCTTTCTCTGGTCAGTTCTCCATCAAAACAATAGCTGATGAGAGAGGATTTACACTTTCATTTTTACTGAGTTTCCTAGGAAAGCTAGAGGAGCTACTCTAGGAGCCTAAAATAACTGGTCCTCCATTATCCAGCTAAATGTAGATGCTGCCTAATATTTCCCCTCTCAAAGGCCAACTTGGTGCTGTGGGGGCCCCTCACCTCCTTCCTTCTTCGCACTGGCGCATTACAAAACAGTGTTCTTTTGAAATGTCCATCAGAAATAGGCTCTTTTTTAAATGTTGTGTATCTGTATATAGTATTGTGATGTCTGAATGACAATGTACTGAATGCAAACAGAAAAATCCCACAAACCTGTTTTTAAAATAAAATATCTTTTTTTTTTTTGGCTTGATTTCATTGCTCAGATTTCCTTCTGACGTCCCTTCTGTCCACTGGCTTCTCAGAGCCATCTAATGATGTCTAATGACTGAGCCAGAATGGGCAGGGGAAAGAGTATAGATTCACCCCATCTGGGTAGATCCCCCAAGCTGTATTTTGCTTTACTTAGGATTTGAACTATTTGTACTATTCAAGCAAGAGAAAACTTCCCATGCTGACACCAAACTTAGGGGAGGAAAAAATATGTTTGGTAACTTAAAAGGCATGGAAGTAGTTGGATGAGAAAAGTACATCACTGGCCATTTCCATTAATAGTTGGGGCTTAGGGCTGGGGGTATAGCTCAGAGGTAGAGTGCTTGAGTAGTATGCATGAGGCTCTGGGTTTGATCCTCACCGTCACAAAATATATAAAAAATAATAACTGAAATTCAGATCCATTCTGGGTGCTGAGTAGGCAGCATCCCAACTGGGAGCTGAGTGGGCTTATGGTAGCAGCTGCAGGGATGGAAAGCTAAACTTTGGCTCCATCCGGGGGTCCTACTGCCATCAGAGGGTCCCAAATTCCTCCAGCCAGCTTGGGGCTGGAGTTGAGGCTGGAATAAGATAGGCACAGTCTGCCAAGGAAGCTTAGGATCCAGCTTCCCTGAGTGCAGTATTTTCTTCTGTCAACCTATGAGGAGAGGTCAGAACACTAAGATCCCTAGGGCCCCCAGTTACCCAAGCCAGCACTGCTTTTACTCTCTAGCATTTCTGGGAACCCCAGTCTTGCAGGCAATCAGGAGCCTGTGTAGATGCTGCCACTAATTTGTTTTCCTTGTCGCGTCTGTGCCTATCTCCCTATCTGGCAGAGTTAATGAGATCGTTAAGTTGTCAGGTTAAGAGACTTTTAAAAAGCAATATAGCCTAAAACAATGTTATCTCAGATTAAATCTTTACTGCAGCAATTTTTATTTATATATAATATTTTTCCTCTCCTGAGACATAGAAAGACTGGAGGCATCAGGTTGGAAATCAGAGTTCTCCATTTTCCTTTTCCCTGATGGGGCTCTAGCTTTTAAATTTTCATTTAAATAATTTTTCTGGGAGTGAAGCACAAGTTCACACATGCTCATGTGTGCACCTGCGCGTGCGCGCGCACACACATACACACACACAGCCTGAGACAAAGAGCCTGAAGAGTTTATTCTTTGAGAGGCTCTACAAGAGATGTGGCTGCCACTTCTGTTCCACTGGTCTCAACACTGGGTTGACTACCAGAGAACCACATACTAGGTAGTGGAGAGGTAATAGGTGAATCTCCTAAGAATAAAATTCTTTTTTTGCTGGGTGCAATGCCTTACGCTTGTAATCCCAACAGCTCAGGAGGCTGAGGTAGGAGGATCACAGGTTCGAAGCCAGCCTCAGCAACTTTGAAGGGCTGTAAGCAATGTAGTGAGACCCTGTCTCAATTTTTAAAAATAAATAAATAAAAAGGGCTGGGGATGTGGCTCCATGGTTAAGCACCCATGGGTTCAATTCTCAGTACCCCCAAAAAAATTCATTTTAAATTCCATCTGTCCTTATTCTCCACATCTAATATACCAACTCTTCTCCAAAACCCTCTGAATGTCTTCTGAGATAGAGAGTTGAAGTTTAAATGTGTGTGTGTTTGATTAGAGAAAGGAACAAAGTGGAGAGAATCCTGGGACTATTGAAGCCCAGTCCTCTTGACTGTTAGGGGTAGTCCTGTGACATTGTAATAGATGCAAGTGAAGTTGGGGACTCAGTGGGTAAAGAGAAGTCTAGAGTTCTCTGAGGACTGAGGGATCCTTCTATTTCTGCACACAAACCCATACTTAACCAAATGACCAAGTTTTAGGCATAGTGGTACACCTGAAGTCCCAACTACTTGGAGACTGAGGCCAGAGGATTGCTTGAGTCCAAAAGTTCTGGCCAGCCTGGGCATTACAGCAAGCCCTTCTTAAAAAAAAAAAAAAAGAAAGAAAGAAAAAAAAGAAAGAAGTAAACAAACAAAGAAAAGAAAAGGGTGGGGTGGGGAGTAGGGAGAAAACAAGAAAGAAATCAAGTCTTCCATACTGAGAGATGCTTTCAAAGTCCCCAAAAGTGGGTGATTGAAGGTGCACTAGGACATTGGCAAGGCAAGCAAGGACTGTGTTTTCTCTGAAAGCTTGTGAGCCCCAGCATGTTTAGAATCCTCCCAAGTACTTGATGAAATATATCTACACTGATTTTGGAGGCTTATCATGCCCAAATTAATTCTGGAGGTATATCTCACATAACAGTAAGCAAATATTGTATGTGTGTGTGTGTGTGGGGGGGTTCTGGGGAGGCAAAGTTGGGAAATGGATATTCTTTCCCAATTATATTGGTCCCTTTTCTTCATCCAAGAGTTGTCACTGGTGACTGTGTGAGATATTCCTTGAAGGGATGTATGTGTGTGTGTGTGTGTGTGTGTGTGTGTGTGTGTAGAGCCTTTGAGCAGTTGAGAATGTCCTGGCTGCTTGTATGGAAGTGTAGAAATGAAAGTGTTGTCAGTTGGCACACTTATCCCAAGGTGTAGAGTGCATTTTCTCCTTTTTATTTACACCTATAATAAAAATCTTTTGTCTAGGCATGATGGCACAAACCTGTAATCCCAGTGACTTTGGAGGCTAGGGCAGGAAGATCACAAGTTTGTGCTCAGCCTCAGCAATGGAAAAAGGCCTTAAGAAACTTATTGAGACCCTATCTCAAAAAGTTAAAAAGAGCTGGGACATAGCTCAATAGTAGAGCACCCTGGGGTTCAATCCTCAGTACCCTCCCCACCAAAAGTCTTTCTTTCCAAGGCCAGTCTCCTAGTGTTGGTGTTAGAATTAGGCTGGCTACAAGTGAAGGCAAATAGGAGGGTACAAGTCTGAAGGGCTGTATCCTTCTGATAGCCTGATGCCACTCCCCACTTGCCCTAGGCCAAGAAGTGTGCCTAGTGAGCTGGGGCTTCACAGGACTCACCCTATGGAGGTCATTCTCCTAGGCTGCCAAGGATGGTTCAGCTAGATCTTTTTCTGATTGGAGAAAAAAAACCTTCCTCACTCAGCATTTCAAGATAGGCCTTTCTTTGGCCAGTAGTCCCAGAGTCAGGAACCCACCTGAGGAAGTAAGGCCAGCAATTCTCTCAGCAGATCCCTTCATGGCTGTCTGCTCTTGAGACCATCTTCTCTTGAGATTGATTCACAGGCGGCTGGGTCAGCAGTGGGGAGAGAGGTGAGCACTCACTGTGGGTGCAAAGCCGACATCTCTCTAAAAAGTCCCTCCCGTTCCAGCTGGGGTCCCTGCAATTGACCTCTTTGTAGCTCCATCCTGTTTCAAAGAGAATTTCCCACCCAGGATCCTCCTGAGTCAGTCTTAGGTGGTATTGGAGCCCACCCTTAACAAAACTTCTAAGTGCCGGTTCTCGCAGACGTGTAACTAGACATTCGTTGGTTGGTGCAGGATTGAGGGGCCCTGAGGAGCGAGGGGCTTCTGGGAGAAGGAGGAGGGGGCTAGACTCTTTTAGCAACCAACCAGGCTCTTCCTCTTTTAGCCTTGACCATGACTAGGTCTTTCTGACCTTGACATCACAGGGAGCACAGGGGAAGGGGGGGGGGAGGATGGAAAAGGCCTTGATCTTCCGGTGGCCAATGAAGGGGAGGGCTGCTTCACCATCCCCCTTCGCGCCAAAGCCCGCCGCCTCTGTTTACACACAGAGGAGGTGTCGTCTCCAGTCTAGACAGGGGCGCTAATAACGCCCATAAAAGGCGGCTTCTCCAGAGATGCTCTGGCAACTAAGCTCCCGCGCGCCTGCCACTGGCCGCTCCCTTCGCCTCTCCCGCCCCGCCCCTTGGATACCTCGTCTGGGCCTGCGGGCGGCCTTGGGGAGGGGGGGATACGGAAGGTTTCTAGAGGCTGAGGACTCCTGCCCCTCACCCTTCTAAGCCTCTTCAGTCTCCAAAGGTAAGTGAACCCCTGTTCTCCAAGCTCAGCCAGCTTTGAGGTTGTCTGCTAGTTGTTCCACCCCCATCAGCTTCCTGGGTTGGTTGCTCCAACCTCAATCCTTCGGCCCCCCTTCGCCCAGGACTCGGGTCCTGGGTTTGGGAAGCAGCTGGGTAGCTGTGTTGAGCAGACCCCAAGCGTCAAGCCCTCTTCAGAGATGGACCAAGCCAGTGGATGTGGTCAGAGTCAGCCTGCAGGGCTGAAGGGCCAGGGCACTTGGGGTAGTCATCACCATCCCCCCAACCCAGCTTGGAGGTGGGTGCAGACCTGGACTGGG